GACCTGGGGACGCAGGCTCACATGCAGGTGCCCCTCCCACCGCCCTCACTGAGCTCTCCCCGCCTCTAAGGACCCCAGCCAGCCAGCCAGCTTTCCTCCAGGTGCGGAGATGGGAGCGGAGTCTCTGCAGAGTTCACCCCCCGGGAGCTGGCTTTTCCCCAGCACAGTCTGCTGCTAAGCAAACAGCATCCCCCAGACGAGGCAGGCCTGTGCTCAGGGCCTCTGGGCCTGCTCCCCACGGGGAGAGAAACCCAGGATGTTGCCGACAGGACGGCCAGACTGTGCGAGGGCGGCCTTCGGGGTCCCACAGCCCTGTGTGTCATTCCCTGCTCCACCTCTCGCTACTGGATAACCCTGGCCCAGGTCCTAACCTCACTGGGACTGTCTTCTCGCCTGCAGAGCAGTGGCGCCTTGAGGATTAGATGAGCTGGTGCTGAGCACAATGCCAGGCGTCCTCTCAGCACCCGACCCAGGCGGGTCACCCGAGCAGGCCTGGGGAGCCTAGGGGGTGCAGACCAAACCTGATCCTGGTCTTTGGGCCCTCCCCTGGGTGCACTGCTCCCACGGTGCCCAGGTCTGCGAGCAGCCCTGATCCTTGGCCACCTGTGGTGTTATTCTCTACTGGCCGCATCCGACTGGCCCTTCCAGCTCAGATCCACCCTCTGGCCACTACCCTCGAGGGCCACCCTCCATGCCAGCGCAGGCTCGGGCCTTTCCCCGGGTGGGCAGGTCCAGCCTCTGCGGTATAGCCTCTGGGAATCTGGATGGGGACCCACAAGAGCACGTCAGGCAGGACAGTCCTGTGTGCCCCGGAGGGTGGCTTGGCTGGAGTGCCTGGGGCAGGACCTGCTGGGGGTGCAGGCTGCCCTTGTGTGTCCCCTGTTCTCATATTTCGGACTCTCCTACACCAGTGTGGCCCTGGGGCTCCCACTGAGCTAGTTACCTTTCTGTAGAACTTGAACAGGCCAGGTTAGTTTTGAGGGCCTCAGTCTTTTCATGTGTAAAACGGGGCAAATAAATCCCACTTCCAGAGGTTGCTGCCTGGGTCACAGGGATGTGCATTTTGTAACTTATCAGCTTACTCTCCCTGGGATATTCCTTCTAGGCAGTCAAACTTGACGGGAAGTTAGAAGCTCTTCTTGCAGGATGGAGGGCAGAGGGCAGAGGGCGGCGCTGCGGGCAGCCGGTGTGCAGCTGGTGCAGGTGTTCCCACCCCCACCCAGCAGGATTCTGATGTCAAGTCCGATGCTGACTTCATGGGGAGGAAGCCTGGGAAGATAAGCAGAGCTGTCACAGTCAGCGCGGCCAGGGGCTCCCAGGAGAGAGAGGAAGTAGGTCAGAGGCCACGGAAGTGATGGTGCCAGAAGGTGCTGACAGCGCCAGGTCCCCATTAGCGGCCGGGGCTCTGTGGGCAGGAGAAGCCAGCGGGCCTCCGGCAGGGATGACCCAGTGGGCGGGACGCAATGCTGTGGGCCTAGACAGGACCTCAGGGTCCAGGCAGCCCGCATGTGAGGTAACCCGGACGGGCACAGCGTGGCCCGGGGGGCGTTGGCCAATGCCGGGCGAGATGTCCAGCCTAGACAAGCTGTGGCCAGTTCAGGCTGTAGGGTAGTCAGGCCACCAGGGAGCACCCCAAGCCTGCAGACTGGACATGGGACGGGACAGGTGGCAGGGCAGGGCCTGAGCCAGCAGGGCTCCAGGCTGCCGAGCTGAGCCTGTGCTCTCGGGCCCAGCTGGCTGCCGGGGCACATCTAGGCCCCGTGGAGAAATGGCCAGCAATGTGCACACACCAACAGCAACAGGTTCTGCAGTGCCACAGGTGGAGCTTAGGCCATGGACGGGCAGCCCCGAGGAAGCCCCATGAAGCCAGCTGCCCAGGGATTCGGCCACGTTAAAGGAGAAGGCTGGTGGGCTTTCCCAGGCAGACACGTGGGAAGGGCATCTGGCCAGGGCCCAGCATGGGAAAGGTGAGAGGTGAGGTGGCTGGAAGGCCAGCAAGGGAGCCCGGAGCATTCTGAACGCAGACGGCCAAGTCACCCCAGCCTCTGAAGGTTCTTGGTGGCTGTTCTGCTGATTTGCCTTTGCAGCCAGCTCCTGACGGGCCCACCAGGACCTGGCGCGGCAGGGGCCCAGCAGCTGCTCTGGGGCAAAGCCGCCTCTTTCCTTCCGCGCCCCCAGCTCTGTGCTCAGAGTCACGGGCCCACAGCCCTCACGCAGGGCCTGACCTCCTGCCCAACCCTCTCCCATCCAGCTCAAGTGCAGGAAGCACGTCTTCTGAAAACTTGGCCTTTATTTCAATAACTTCTCTGTCTGGTTTAAGCATGTGGTCCCGCCTTGGACAGGCCCCTCCCCAGCCAAACCCCAGACTACAGCCCCCTGGGGTGGAAGGCCACGGTAGTGGTTGGCTGGGGCTGCAAAATGCCATAGACCGGGTGGCTGAAACAAGAGAAATTCATTTCCTCAGTTCTAGTTCAGAGAGGCTGCAAGTCTAAGATCAAGGTGCCAGCAGGTTGCTTTCCTCTGAGGCCTTTCTCTGTGGTTTGCAAATGGTCGCCCTCCTGCTGCCTCTTCACGTGTTTGACCCTCTGTGCCCGATCACCCATGGTCCCTCTGAGTGTCCAAATCCCCTCTCTTATAAAGCCACCAGTCACACTGGATTGGGGCCTACCCCCAACGCCCCATTATACCTTAATCACCTCTGTAAAGACTATCTCCAACTCCATTCACGTTCTGAGGTCCTGGGGGTCAGGGCTTCAGCATGTGAATTTTAGGGGGTCACAATGCAGCCTATAAAAGCCGCTAAGAGCCCCCTGGCCTGGCGTGTGGACTTTGAGGCTGTCAGGTGAGGAGGGTGGGGCTCCCTTGGGGCCCGGCCAGTGTTTTGTAGTTGATGCCGCTGCCTCCCCGACACAGCTCCCTGAGGGCGGGGGTGGGGAAGGGACCTGAGTCCTCTCTGGGCGCCCCCCTGGCTACAGGACTGTATGAGCTGACGGGTGGCATTCAAGGATCCTGTGTGAGTAACTGAGGAGGGCAGAAGGGGCCCGGCCCAGGGAGGCCACAGGGAGAGGCCACACAGCGAGGCTGGCATTTCTGAGTCCCTGCCCACCGGCCCTTTCCTGGCCTCCCTCCTCACGTGCAGCAGTGTGTTACCAGCCCCCTGCCTGGTGCTGGTGCAAGATTTCCAAAGACATTTCATATGCACATTTTCGGAGCCTCAGAGCAGCAGCCCTGTTGCCATCAGCCCTACTGGGCTGGGAGATTAGGCCTGCCTTGCCCGAGGGAGGGGCTAGAACTCACACCCCACCTTCTGCCCTCTTCTGGCTCCTGATTCCCTGTACCCAGCCTGAAAGGGGCTGGGCTCCCAGAAGGAGTGAATCACAGGGAGCTGGCAGGATCAGACCAGTACCTGTGGCTCCCCAGTGCCAGGCACGGGCAGCGAGGCCGCGGGCCTGCCCTTCTGCCATCTGCTGAGGGGGCGGACATGCTCTGAGAGCAGGGCTCGAGCCTCGCTGGGCTGGGTGCTGCACTTAGCAGGGGGTCAGGGAAGGCCCCCTGTGGAGAGGGGACGGTTGAGCTGAGCACGGTGGTGAGGAAGAGAATCCGGGGGCACCAGGGTGATGCCTCTCAGGAAAGTGCTCAAAACAGCAGCCCCCCTCTCCTTGGGCCTGCTCAGGAGGGGAGAGGGGGGCTCAGCTGCCTGCCCCCTTCCAGCTTCCTCCCAGGCCCCTTAGAGGAAGACTGCTTCCTCCAGCCAGCCTTCCCTGCCTGCCAGCCTGCAGGCCCCTCCCCTCTGGTGGCCGCTTATACTCCAGCATCTTCCCCTAGCAGGCTGGCTGGCCATGAGAACTTGGGGCTGTGGGACCCCTAGCTGCTCTCTGCAGCCCCCAGCCCAGACACATACTCCAGGGGGCAGTAAAGGGTGGCTGGACCCTGGCAGGCCTCTGAGCCACACCTCTGCTACCTGTGATCAGGACGTGCCTCCTCAGGGGGAATCTGTCCTCATCCTAGGTGTGCAGGCCCGGCAGGGCCCTTTGACCCAGACTGCCTGGTTCAAATGCTGGCTCCATCCCTTACTGCTCAATCCCCAGTGCCTAAAACTGCCCCTTTAGGAGTGTAGGGGTGCTGCAGCACCTGCCTCCCTGGGTGGTCATGAGGGTGGCCTATAAGCAGTGGAGAGGGTGTCCAGTTCCATGCTGGCCCCAGCACAGTCCACACCTCCAGAGGGTGCATACCAGGCCTTCAAGAGAAGAAGACGGGGTATCCAAGATGCCGCCCGACGCCCAAAGTCAAGCTGCCCAGAGCGGCCGCAGGAGGACAGGCGTGGGGCGCGGAGCCCATCCAAGGCCCGTGGCCTTCCGTCACACCCGCACGACCGCCCAGGCAGCATTTCGGCGCCCCTGGAGGCCCCCGCCTGTCCCGACGACCCACCAGGGAGGCGCTACTGAGCTCCACGCCCCCGGCCACGGCGGCCCGGACCCCAGGATCGGCGGCAAGGGGAAGCCACCTCCTCGGGCCAGAGCTAAGCCCTGCGGACTCGCCCGGGCGAGCTCACCCGGTCCGCGCGGCCAGACCCCAGCCCAGCCCCCTCCTTGATCGCCCGGCCCTCCCCCTCGCCCTCCTCTGTTCCCTGCTCCCGCCTCTCCCCCGCCCCCACGCCCGGTCCCCTTCTCAGGTCCCCCCGCCCAGACACCCCCTTGGTTCCTCGGCTCTGCACCCCTCTCGTCCGTCCCCTCCTCGTCCCCTCGCCCGGTCCGCCTCGCGGCCTCTCCTCGTCCCCTCGCCCCGCCCCACCTCCCCCGGCCGACTCCTCCCTCCCCCGTCCAGCCGCCTCTCAGTCCCCCCAGTCCGGCCTCCTCCCCAGCCCGACCCCCCTCTCCCTCCCCCGCTCCGCCTCCCCGTCCCCCGCCTGGTCCCCCGCGGCCGCTCTGCGTACGGGGTGACGCAGCACCGCCCACCCGCGCGCCCCGCCCGCCCCGCGCCGCCGCCGCCGCCGCAGCCGACGCTGCCGCCGCAGCCGCAGCCGCGACCGGGGCACCTGGGGCCGCTAACGGTCCAGCGCCCCTCGGCGTCTGCGCGCCCTCAGCCCGGCCGACCCGGCGGCGCCCTGGGCGCTGGGCGCGATGGGGGCCGCGGAGCCGCTGCGCTCGGTGCTGTGGGTGAAGCAGCAGCGCTGCGCAGTGAGCCTGGACCCCGCGCGGGCGCTGCTGCGCTGGTGGCGGAGTCCGGGGCCCGGAGCCGGCGCCCCCGGCGCGGGTGAGTGTCGCCTACGGCCCGCGGGCTCGGCCGGGGTGGCGGGGCAGGGAGGGGCCGGGGAGGAGGGGGCGGGGAGGCCGGCAGGCGGGGGCTCCGGGACCGGAGGCCCGGAGATGGGGGCCGGGGTCTCGGCAGCAGCTGGCAGGGAGGAGTCCCGGGCGCCGAGGGTGTGTACACTCCGGGACCGGGGTGACAAAGAGCGAGCGCCGGAGCGGGGTCGGGGGTGGGGGTGGGGGGAGGTCCCGGCGGGGAGGGCCGGAGCCCGGGCGCCTGCGGTCCCGGCGAGGATGCGACCCCGGAGGGCGAGGCGCGGGGTGGTGACGGCGGGGGAGGTCTGCAGCCCGGGAGGTGTCACCTGGACGGGGCCGCATCTCCGTGACCGGCCCGCAAGCATCTGAAAGGCACCATCCGGATCGACTGTGAGACTGATTACGGATGGATCCCGAGGGAGTGCCGGCGCCCCGCCCTCGGTTTCAGTTTAACCCGAGTACAGATGCTTTTCGTTAGCGGGGATCCAGAGCGGGGTCAGGAATTCCTGTTGTAAAGTGAAAGACAGGCTCATGATCTTCTGTATGGGTTGTGCTCCCTGGTGGGGTTGGTGTGGGTGTTAATTCTGGTGCAACAGGCTGGACGCGGGACCTGCGAAGGCCCTCCGATTTGGAGAAGTGTAATTTAACTGAAAAGGGCACTCTCTTTCCCCAAGGAGAAGGGGCCAGCGGCTCCCAGGGCCGAGACGTCGGCGGCAGAGGGGTGGGCAAAGGCTTATCAAGGAGGTGTCATTTGACCCCTGGCAGGAGGAGGAGGATTACAGGAGGCGCCTTTGGCCAGTGAGAAGGGGGGAGGCGTCCGTGGCTGGCGAGGAAGCGCAGGGCTGGCGAGTGTGGGTGTGTTTCCATCTCATTCATTTGTCTTTCGCAATTTTTTATTGAGGGCCTGTCCGGGAAGGGCGCGGCGGTAATCCTCGCCTCTGCTCAGCGCACGTGACAAAGTCCCTGCCGCAATGGAGCATTTTCCATTAGAGGGAGAGACAAGAGGGGAACACATAGGGGCGTGTATGTCTCAGAAGAGCCTTGCAGGGTGGGGGCAGGTCGCTGTGGTGCAGGAGGTCTCAGAAGTCCTCACTTGCAGGAGGGCATTGGACCAGAGCCCTGGAGGGACCTGTGCACATTGGGAAGAGATGGTCCTTGCAGGAAGACCACAAGTGCCAAGGCCAGAGGTCCACGGGGTGCTGCAGGAATGGAGGGAGATGGGGGAGGGGAAACGGGGCTGTTTGGGTGGCATGGGCTGAGATGGGGACCCCAGGAGGGCTTTATCCATCTTAACCTGGAGAAGGGATCCCTGTGGCAGCTTGGAGGAGAGCAGACAGAGGAGGGACTGCAGGTGGGAGGTTGCTGGCCTAGTCCTGGTGGGAGTGGTGGCGAGCAGGGCTGGGTCTGCCTGGATTGAATGAGCAGCACCAGGGGAACCTGAATTCCAGGTTTGTAGTTACTGAAACTGCAGGAGCAGGGATTTCATTGTTAAGTATCGGGGAGGGATGTGTAGGTCAGTGTTCTCTGGTGGATGTTCTGACTTTGGGATGGCTTTCAGATGCCTTGGGGGCAGTCGGGGGTGCTGCGATGGGCCTGGGGGTGCTTTCGGACACTGAGGTTGTGTGGCTCTGCTGGTGGGGGAGCGGTGAGGCAGAGCTGGCTGGTTAATTGGGGCCAAGGTCAAGGGCGGTCTCGGACTCTTGGTTTCTAGCCTCGGCGTCACCAGAAGCATGGTCTGCAGAGAGCTTATCTGTGGCCGGGGGTCTGAGGCTCTACCCTTCTACCAGCTTTCTGTTGTCCCCTTGGGAAGATATGTCACTCCTCAGACGTCATCCTCCGGCCTCCTGGCACCACACGACTAGGTCTTGCCTGGCCTGTCCCCGAGGGCTTTTGGGCTTTCCTGTAAACCTCTCGGCTTACGGATGGGGCACTGCCATTTCGTGGGGCACTTGGGCGCAGCCACTGTGCTTCTGTCCTGTATCCCACTCAAGCATGATGCATTCCTGCGGGGCAGCTTCTCCTGTATTTTATGGATATAGAGAGTTTTAGAAACCGGCCCAACTAGTGGTTGAACCCGGGTTTGAGGCGTGGTGGGTCCAACTCCAGCTGCTGTGCACCGGGTGGTGTGGCCTCCCTCAGGCCACAGCGGCCATGTGGACACTGGACAGACCCCACCCGTCCGGGGCGTCTCGGTGGGGAGGTCACTCCTCGCCTGCCCTCAGCCGGCTACCATTATGGTCTGCGGTTCCCAGATTCTCGGGTTTGTGTGGCGTGCTTTGGGGCGGCCCCTCGCTGACACAGCTGCCTGCCCTCTTCCCGGGAACAGTGGTGGCTTCACTCTTACAAACCGTGAAGGCCCTTTCGTACAGGGACCTGGTATGCAAGAGATTGGTCCCCTCCCCGGAGGGCCCGGGGCTGTGGGAGCCCTGGCAGCCCCTGTGCAGCCCACCACCCTGGGAAGGCAGTGGGTCAGCAGTGCAGGGACGTAGCTGCTGCAGCTCGGGGCCTTCCCACAGCGGCACCCGCAGGGCAGTGGGGTCTGCGTCAGGTGATTGCATGCTTGACAGCACCACTGGCAGCAGGGAGACAGGAACCCGTCCACGCGGGACATTTGATTCAGTTACGGAGTGGCAGTACCCGGCCTGCTGCAGTCCCAGGCGTGTCTGCTGGCGGGGATGGACTACGGCTTGGCCGGGGAGGGAAGGGAGGGGAGGGTTGTGCAAAAACAGACTGGTGCGGTAGGGAGTGAATTGAGATCACCTTCGGGGGACAGAGGAGGGACCTGCCCCGGGGCAGCCGCGTGCACCGGGCGCAGCTGCTTCATCTGACGCGCTCAGTTTCTCCATAGCATCGCCCCTGTTTGCAGACAGGAAAAATGGACGCTGTGAACTGATTGCAATTGATTGTAATGTCCAGAAGGGAGCTGGCTTTTAATCCAGGCCCACGCTCCTTCATCCGTGAGGGGGCTCAGCAGTTGAGAGCAAAGGAGGGAACAGGATTTCAGGGGGCAGTGTTGTCTGGACCCAGGAACAGCTGCTCTTAAGGAAGCTGTGAGGCTCCGGGGCACCAGCCTGGCCGGAAGTGGGGCAGACTGAAAACAGGAAACCCAGACCCAGTCTTCTCACAGTGGGTCGGGCTAGTTCAGCTTGAAACAGAGTGAAACTGTATCTGGGCTGTACCCCCCGGGGTTCAGGAAAAGAGACCCTGGATGTGTTCCTTTAGAGTTGGAGCTGGGAGGAGTGTGTTGGCACCCTGGGGTGGGGTGGGGCAGTGCCCAGGCTCCACCTTTGAAGGAAATCCCACCCTTCCTCTGGCAGCTCCCCCCCGAACCTGGGATGCCCCGGGACTGGTGGGGCTCTCCTTGGGTAGGTCACTGCTATATTTACAGAATGTCCCCAACACCCCTACGCAGTGCCCAGCAAAAGGTAGGCAAGCCACAGATACTTAAAACAAAAAGGTTTTTTATGCTTATAAAAGTAACTCATGTTGATTTAATAAAATCTAGAAAACACAGAAAAGCACACAGAAAAAGAATCACCCTTAGTCTTAACCTTCAACAGTGAATTTTTTTTTTTTTTTTTTTTTTTTAAGGTACGCGGGCCTCTCACTGTTGTGGCCTCTCCCGTTGCGGAGCACAGGCTCCGGACGCGCAGGCTCAGCGGCCATGGCTCACGGGCCCAGCCGCTCCACGGCATGTGGGATCCTCCCGGACCGGGGCACGAACCTGCGTCCCCTGCATCGGCAGGCGGACTCTCAACCACTGTGCCACCAGGGAAGCCCAAAACATGATTTTTTTAACGTCAACTTTATTGAGGCATAATTTGCATACAATAAAATTCACACATTTTAAGTGTATAGTTTGGTGACTTTGCCACGTTTGATCATCTATCCTAAGGAAAAAGACAAGTACTTAAGGAACTGTGTTTAGGCTTTAGAAAATATATTTTTTGTGTGTTTGTTAAGATACTGATGACCCCCTCCTCGTGTCCCTCGTCCCCATTCTCCCGGGGCACCTCGTGTGCCTGTGCACGGCAGGTGCTGAACAACCCTGTGTGGATGGCCGCATATGGGAGGTGAGGTGTGGCCTGCCCCTGGCCACATGGTGAGTGGAGGCCGCCTCGGGACTGGGCTCCGGCTGTGTGGGATGCAGCATGTCCTGGGGTCACCGCTGCCACTGGCAGGAGAACGTGGGGGGGAGTGGTTGCTTTGCTGTTTGCTCTCCCAGCACCTTGACTTTTCTCTGGAGGATGTGGGTTCGAAACCATTGGAAGTGGCTGGGAAGCTGAATGGTTTGTGTAAAGCCCACAAATTCTACAGAGTCCTCTAAAGCGTAAACACCACAGATCCTGTAGTCCTGTGTTTCAGTGTCCCCTGATGTGTCTTAGTTATGCCCCATGAGGAAGTCAAAAGTGCTATAGATAGCGTCGATGGTGTAAAGCTAACGACCTGCACAGTGCGATAGGAGGACTCTCAGTATACTTGAATAGGAAATAAATGGCAATCCTGTCTACCTGTTACAGAAAAAAAAAATAGAATCTCATTCTAGGCTTGCATGTGATTCACTGTCGGAAGAGACGTACAGGCTTTTGTGGTTTCGAAAGTGGATGTCAGGAAAACAGCAGTCCTGCCTGCCGTCTGTCTCTCTAGGCACCTCCCTCGGTTATGTTCAGGTTACGTGACTTAACAGTCGGCGAACGTGGTCATAAATATCGTAATCTGAGATAATTCCAAGGTTAACTTTTATTTGTTACTCTAAAATAGGTCAGCAAACATTTTCTTCAAAAGCCAGATAGCAATTATTTTAGGCTCTGTGGGTCACAACTTCTCAGCTCTGCTGTTTTAGCACAAAAGCTGCCGTAGGCAGCGTGAGAATGAATGCACGTGGCCGTGTGCCAACAAAACTTTATTTACAAAAGTGGGCAGCAAGCTGAATTTGGCCTGCGGTTGGCCGACCCTGCTCTAAACCATTAT